TGCCCCTAGAAATGAAGGCTCGTTCATATGGAAAACAGCTGGGTAATATGCTAACTATTACTGCTGAGTTGGCTTCCAGCAGGCTCCAGTTCCCCAGGGATGTGTCCCTCCACTGCTTAAAGCGGGAGACGAGATGTTGCTGAAAACTTGGAGGAAACAGCATCCCAAAGCCACCATGCATTGGCCCTGTTGAGGGGTCTCTGACAACTCACTCTTCAGTCAAGCTAGCAGCACTGAAATCACCGGTTCATCATACTGGGGTAAAATTTGCTGCCCCTGAACTTAAACCAAGGATGAAGTCAGATTGGGCTGGTGAGTGCCCGAGTGATCTTAGATTATTATTTCAGGCTAAGCCCACTAGCAGGTAGGATGCATTGGAATCCCGAACTTGGAATTGTAATTATTCTGCCAGTCCTGTCCTCCTTTGCTTGGAAGGACAATTCATTAGTTTGAATCTCTCAGACCCTTGCTTCCTCAGCTAATCTACCCACATGCTGGATACGCCACCCTAAACCCCAGTCGGTCCTACACCATCATGATCCCCTAGCTCAATTAGTGTACAACTCTTCTGATGTCCCCAAATGTACCTTTGAACACGTTTGAAATCCTAAAAGAATGGAATGCTGAGTAAGACTCACTTGGTCAACGACTGGGACTCGAAAGCCCCCTCATTTCTTCTTGGCCTCCCGGTGGGGACATCCAGTCCCTACAAACCCTCGGAATCAGACCGATGGGAAAGAAGTATATTCCCCTAATAGGGATCTGGATAACATGCCCTGTAGCCAAAATGTTAGACTCCACTCAGACTCCTGGGACAGATTTCCCCTAGAGGGCTGTGACTTGCCCACCATAGACCCTTGGTTAGAAGAAATAGCTCTGCAAGCTTATCATTCATACGATTTTATGACTTATGCCCCAGAGGGATGTGTTTTTGTATGTCAACAAGGAGAGCCTTGGGCCTACGCATGCATTAAGGAGGGAGATGAGGGTCAATGTTTATTAAGCTACTGTATTGCTCCTTTCTCTGTACATGATGACTCAGATACCAACCATAAAATTGTTTTCATGGGCAACTAGGGGAATTTTGGATGGACACTCCATCTGGGGAACACGAGGACAGTATCTCCTGGGAGGGATCCCAGATGGGGACGGATATTTCTTTGGGTTTACCTTACTGCCCTGGTGGGTGGTGGCCGATCAACAACACATGCTTCACAATCTATCCATCACCTTGAGGACAATTGCTAATGAAACTGCAGCTACAATAGCTGCTCGGCAAAAACCACTAGACTCTTTAGACTAAGTGGTTCTTGATAATCGCATAGCTCTTGCTTATATCTTAGCAGAACAAGGGAGTGTTTGTGTGATGGCTAATTCCTCATGTTACAGGTATATAAATACTTCAGCAGAAGTAAAAGCACATATTGCTAAAATCAGACTGCAGGCTTCTTGGATGCAACATGCGGGAGAGGATGGACCAGGGCTGGGAGACTGGTTCTCAAGACTATTCGCTCACATTCCTCAGGGAATGTGCTCTGTTCTTTCTGGGATCCTAAAATTTGGTCTCTCCCTTTTACTAATTATTTTTCTAATTTACCTGGTGGCAAATATATATATATATATATATATTTTTGAGACAGAGTCTCACTCTTTTGCCCGGGCTAGAGTGAATGCCATGGCGTCAGCCTAGCTCACAGCAACCTCAAACTCCTGGGCTCAAATGATCCTTCTGCCTCAGCCTCCCGAGTAGCTGGGACTACAGGCATGCGCCACCATGCCCGGCTAATTTTTTCTATGTATTTTTAGCTGGCCGATTAATTTCTTTCTAATTTTAGTAGAGACGGGGTCTCGCTCTTGCTCAGGCTGTTCTTGAACTCCTGAGCTCAAACAATCCGCCCACCTTGGCCTCCCAGAGTGCTAGGATTATAGGCGTGAGCCACCGCGCCCGGCCTGGTGGCAAATATATTAATCCAGTGTGAGTTAAAATGTTGCTGTAAAACAATAGACAAAAGCACAAAAGTAATGATGTTGAAGACATCTAACCATCGACTTAGGACTTGCGAGTACTTTCACCAGCATTTTCACTCCTCATGCCCCAACCACGCCCATCTCAGCAGGAAGCACCCAGATAGATCAACACCCTGATTCCCCAAGATTGAGGAAGGAACAAAAAGAAGGGGGGAGTTGTTATCAGATCCATGAACAAACACAAAGTGACCCCCCCCAATATATGTTCTCCCTGTGGCTTTCTTATGTTTGGGGATTCCCAGGCCAGTAGGGCTGGATGACCAAAACATTATAATCTTTCTGTTTAGCTCACCTTTTTATCTTGTGTTTTCCAGAATGGTGGATTCTTCACAGGTAACAATGCTGAGACTCATCTCTAACTTGTGAATTCTGGGTTAGACTCCTACACACCTTGATTTCAACACAACCTGCCCCAAAGCATGTAGCTGCCTTCCTGAACCCATTATAAAAACTCCTGCCCTTGGTTGAGAAGACAGATTTGAGGCAGTTCTTCTGTCTCCTGGCTGACATCAACCATAATAAATTCCCTTTCTTCCTTGGCAATCCTCGTTGTCTCAGTAATTGGCTTTCTGTGTGGCGAGCAAACAGACCTAGACCAGAACCCCTTTGTGGATTTGGTAACACACCTGGTATCTCTGAGGAACTCCCTCTCCTGTCTCCTCTCTCCTGTCTCCTCCCCTCTACTGACAGACTTCCACTTGCCCTTTGAGACTCAGCTTGCAAATCACCCCTAGGAAGCTCCCATGACCCTCAGCTGGGGCCAGGAGCCTCCCCTGGGCCCCCATACACCTTGGGCTATGATTCAGTCTTCACCCCATAGTGTTGCCATGTCTATTTGGAGGCAGTTTCCAAGGTCAGGCCCCAGGCAGCCCAAGGGGGTAAGAGCAGCTCCCCAGGGAGTCAAGAGTCTGTGCAAAAGGGAGGTACAGCCACAGGGGAAGCCACTGGGGCTGTGCCTCAGATCTGCGTGGATTCTGGCACTAAGAGCAAGTACAGGAGGGCCCCAGGTCATGCAAAAGTCTGTAGCAATGCCTGCTCCTAGCTGATCCTGGGCTCTGGGAGGATTCATTCACATTTGCATTCAGCAAACACCAGCGGCCTCTCCTCCTCCCTGTCATACCCGTCCTGAGCCAGGCCCCTAGCTGGGTGTCTGGGGCCTGTAGAAGACAGTGTGAGAAGGCTCTGCTCCGGGTAGCTGATGGGGGTGGGGATTTAACCCTCTCCCAATTCCAAGAGGCAGAGAGAGACCTGGGCTCCATAATGGAATTTAAAAGTGGCTGCCCAAAGGGCTGGCTCCCATGGCCAGATGTAACCCAGGCCACCAGAGCATGCGACTGAATCTGCTTCCGTCTACTCCTGGAAGGGGTATTTTGGCTGGGAGGGGTGCAGGCAGGATCAGGGAGAGACCTCCAGGGAGGAGGGGTTCAAAGGCTTGAAAGTAAAATGCTTGCCTGGGAGGGAGCACTGCCCAATCCACGCACGCTGTGTGGTAGTGGGCTTCCCGGCCCCAAAACGTGTGAGTGGGTTTCTCTGGGGCAGTTAGGAGATGGGGACATCCCAAAGTAGGCAGGGACACCAGTCAAGGGACAGGCTCAGGGCAGCCCCGGGGCTCGGGGCAGAGGCTGAGCAGGGCGGTTGCGCTCCCAGGTGCAACGCCCCTGTCCTAGTGCAGGCACCACCCCGGCCACGGTAGAGGAGCCAGATCACTTTTATTCACCTCCAAACAGGGCTGCAGCCCAAGGGCCACAACCGGGTGCCCCCCGCGGGCAGGGCCTGCATGCTGGCAGTGTGGTCAGACCAGAGCACCTGGGAGGGCGGGCGGCCCAGGGGGGCACGGAGTGTGGTGGGCGTCACCGAGCCTCGGTTTCTCCATCTAGATAATCGCTGCGGCTGTATGGATCGGACGGCACACAGTTGGCTTTCAGGCGGGAGCATGACTGCTCACCCCTCTGGCTCGGCAGAAAGTGACCTGGAGTCTTGACTTCCGCAGACCTCGCGTAGCGGCGCCGCCTCCGGACTTCAAGTAGCCTGGGGTGGGAGGGGCCAGGAATAGGAGTGCGCATGCGCTCGGGCCGGCTGCCGGGCGGCCTGACTGCGGTGCCCTGGCGCCCCCGTGTGGCGATGATGGGAACCACCGGCCTTGCGGACTGATGGAGGCTTGGGCGTCTGGAGTGTGTCCTTTCCAGTGATGGGGGCTCCTGGACCCCAGCGAGAGCATTGGGGTGACAGTCCAGGGTGCAAAAGCCCCCCAACAGTAACAGGTCATATCTAGACATGTGGTCATCTGAGGTCCAGAGTGGTGAGCTACCCAAGGTCAGGACTGGCTAAACTTGAAGCCCCATGGCTAACACTGTGTGGCATACAGCAGATGCTCAATAAATGCTGATGAAGTAAGTGGGTAAGTGCATGAACCATCCGTGTGCACAGGGGGGTTGGAAGTGGTGGCCAGAATCGGTAGCAGACGGTCATAATGTGCATCTGCACTGTCTGACCTTCCAGCAGGTGGGTCCCCCTCATGAGGGCCTGTGCCCGGGACAGTGGAGGTACCTCTGAAGACCTCACTCTGGTCCCAGCCACTGATGGGGACACAGGGACAGAGGGTGGCTCAGGCCTCATATGTCCCATGATGAGCCCAGCCCCCTGCACCGGGCAGAGCAAGGTCCTCGGCAGGCCTCCTCCTGGGGTCTGGAAGTTTCTGTCCACTGCTCCAGCCTTGCGCACAGGAAATCAGACAGAGCAGAGGTGGGGACGGCCCTCCCCCAAACTCTCCCGCAACTTACAGGAGCCGGAGAGGGAGAGAAACGGCCAAGCCAGAAGCAGAGCTGCTAAGGGGCGGTTGGGGCGGGTCCAGGCAGGACAGAGCTGTGCTGAGGGAAGAGGCACAGGGCTGGGGGATGTGGGCACGGGGCAGGAAATGAGGCCGTGCACTGGCTCTCCACCCACCGCCCCCGTCCCCGGCCTCAAGGTCCAGGCTAGGGGCTGAGGCTGGGGAGAGGGTCCAGGCCAGGCTCGCAGCCCACGGGCAGGGTAGCGGCCTCGCTGGGTGGGATGTGGTGCGTCATGTAGCGCTTCCCCATGAAGGAGCCAATCCGCAGCTGCTCGGGGGCTTCCTCGGGCCACCACAGGCTGGAGCTGGACAGGGAGAGGAAGAGGAGGTGTATATCCCTGCCAGGTGGGGCGGCTGCCAGGTCAGGGCCTGCTCCCCTTCCCAGCTCCCTCACCTGCAGCCTCTGATCCCACCTTCCTCCCTTCTAGAACCAGCTGGAGGACTGCCTCCTCCAGGTGGCCACCCTGATTACCCTGGTGTCAGGTCACTAACTCGCCAGAGGGCCCATGGGGAAGACAAGGCCCAGGAGGGAAGGGTCCTGGCCAAGGACACATGGAGGGACAGGCTGGACTGAGGCGGCTCCTCCCCGAACCTGCCCTCAGGGGGGCTGTGGGACCACCTCACTGACCCCGGAGGGGAGAGATACACAGTCCCTGGGAAGGGCACCGCCCAGCTCTAATGGCAGCGTGAGTGGAGGGCTTCCAGGCTGTGGCCTGGGAGAGGGAAGGCATTCTGTCAGCAAGTGTCCCTCGGGGATGTCGCTACTCACAAGCGCACAGTGGAGGCTGCCAGGAAGGCCAAGAGCAGGAGGCCAGCCAGAGAAGAGAGGATGGAGGTGATGACGATCATGCCGCCGCTTCGCCGTCCTGGCCACGTGTCAATGGAGCCTGGGGCCTTCCCTGCACACACAGTGGCTGCTGGGAGGCTGCCCGTGGACCCCAAGGCTGGCTGTCACCTCCTGCTCTCCCCATCCATGCTCATACCTCAAGGCCTGGCCGATTTGTGTCCCCAGACAGGCCCCTGAACCCATTTATCTGTCCGTCTCAGGACGGCACAGCATCTGCTCTTCCAGCCTGGGCCACCCTCAGCTGCAGCCAGTCTCACCTTCTAGGCTATTCCCACCATGTGCCCACCCACCCGCTGCCGGAATGTGGCAGGCAGGGTGCTCCAGGCCTCAGGAATGAGTGGGGCACCTCCCCGCTCCCTGGAGCGCAGCAGTCAAGGCCTTCGATGACAAGACCCCCACCCACAACCCTGGTCTGTCTCCCAGGCAACCCCCACACCCGAGACTCGGGCCTTGGTACGTGCAGTTTCCTCAGCCTGGTGACTCGTGCTCACTTCTTTGCTCAGAGAAGCCTCTAGAACCTGCTGATCTAGCCAGCCTGGACCCTGACTCTGGTCTCCATGCCCATCTCCTCCCACCGAGCAGGGGCTGGCATGGGCCTGGCCTGTAGTGGGAAGGCCCACGTGTTTCTGCCCAGGACAGGATACCCGAGGGTTGGTGAGCGCTGGGGACGGGCAGAGCTGGTGCCCCTGGCGATGGGACTAGCCTAGTGCCCCACCCCCAGCCCCAGGCTCTGTTGGGGGTTGGGCCGGACTTGGACACTGAGCAGGGGAGGGCCAGCCACGCATGACAGTTGTGCAGGGGGTTTCCGGCCGGAGAGGCAGGTGAGTCCATGGCTCATGGAAGCCAGGGCGCCCCTCCCCGCAGCACTACCTTGGTGGAGAGTGATGTGGTCTGACCACCTGGTCTCGGCCTTGGGTGAGCCCCTGGTGTCCATCAGGAGGAACTTCACGCTGGAGGCAGGAGGCAGTCGGGGAGGTGGGGTGAGGCTCAGACACTCAACTGCCCCAGGCAGGCGCCCCCCCTGCGGCCAGGCCCCAGGGAATGACCTGCCAGTCCTGCTCTGAGAACCCTCTGAGACCCCTCCAGCCAGGTGACCTGCACCAGCAGCCCCAGTCCACCAGGACAGTCCCTCTCTACTCTGTCTGGGCTGGGCATGCTGGTTTAGTGGCCCCTGTTACTAAATGTCACATACACAATAAGCAGGGTGAGGTAGCCCTGCAGGGCACATGGCGTGGGGGCCCCAGGCCTCCCAGACAAGCAGCACTGGCCCAGAGGGGTCTGCGAGACCACGGAAGGAGAGTGAGGGCCCCCTGATGGGGAAGGTCACTGGCAAAGGCCCAGTGGGGGTTGGCGGGTCAGGGAGGGAGGCAGGGGCCCCGCACCAAGAGCATGTGAGGCGGGAGCCCTGGGAGGTCTGAGCACAGTGAGGGACGCAGCAGGCTGGCCCTGGTGCTGGCGGCTGCTGTGGATAGGGTGGGGCGGGGCTGGAGCAGAGACAGGGTGCGGCACAGGAGGGGAGAGGGACACAGAGGGTGGGTGAGAGGGCAGAGGGGGCCTGGGGGTCGGAGGTTCCAGCCACACCCACCCTGCATTCCTGCTCACCCTAGGCCCTGGCCGCCTGAGGACACCTGGCCTCCTCCTGCGGCCGGACAGTTGTGATCTGGACACTGGGGAGACACCTGCTTTCCCCTCCCGGCTCCACCCCGACCTTGACAGGCCACTTGGCACTCTGTGCCTCAGTTTCTCCATCTGTAAAATGTGGTGGGAGCCATTTCTCCTGCTCTCTGCCTCATACCCCCTTGACTGGGTCTGAACCCAGCCCCCCGGCCATTTACTGCCCTGACTTCAGCCTTAAGCCCCCTCCCACCTTGACTAAATCTCCACCTCTCCTGGTGCCCACCCCCTGCTCCTGGGCCTTGGGCCCCCACTGGGATGAGCCCTCGCTTGCTCTGCTGACTCTGGGAAGATGCTGGGGAGGAGAATGCAGGTCTCAGAGCCCCCTCCCCCCATGCACAGCCCACTCCCAGAGCCCTGGAGGGACGACCCACCTGTAAGGTCCAGGGCTGGGGAGGGGGGCGTTGCAGTAGAGCGGCTGGTGGCAGCCGTGGTCATTGCCCACCCGCAGCAGAGGGGCATCTCCACTACCCCCTGCGGGATCCTCACAGGGCAGCTGGTCCAAGGACAGGGGCAGCGTCATGTAGTAGCCGTCAGTCAGCAGCTGTGGGGAGGCCGGGATCTCGGCCAGGGTCTGCGGGTTCTGGAAGCCCCTGGAGGCTGCAGAATGGAAGAGCAGATAGATGGGGATGTGGGAGCAGAGATGGGCCTCGTCATGCCGACCGGGGGCCTGTGTTCACCATTCTCCAGCCCTGACCCCCGCATCACCGCCTCCTTCGGGACCCCCAGAGACAGTCCAGACACAAATCAGACTTGGTCACCCTCTAAGAGCCCCGTTGGGTTGGAGCCCAATCCACACCCACCCAGCGGACCCCCCCGCAGACCTAACAACTGCAGGTGCTAGTGAGGGACTCTCAGGCCATCGTGCCACTCGGCCCCCACACTCCCCAGGCCCTAGAGTAGCCCCTTACCATTGCTGAGGGCCACCACCAGCCAGACGGTGTCTCCGGCACTGGCATGTCCGTCAAGGACACAGCGAGGCTGCTCCAGGGAGAAGGTGGTGGCCGTAACCTTCCCTTCCAGGTCCCAGGCTGTTATCTGCGGCGTGTAGGGGATCAGATCTGTGGGTACGGGGCACAAGAGTGAGCGGTGGGGGCCTTGGAGACAGGAGTGAGGGGCCAGCTGCTGCCCCTGGGGCTGCCTCCCCATGTCGTAGGGGGGTGGGTTCCCACCCAGGGGTGGGCTCCCACCCATTCCGGCAGGTGCCCCAGCCCCTTGGGTCTGGCCAGGCACATCCGTCCTGGACCCCACTCACCCAGGCTCAAGCTGGGCCCAAGATAGCTCAGCACCGTGAGGAGGAAGAGGAGGAGCACCAGCTCCAGGGGAGGCTGCCTCCAGAGGAGCCCCATGCCACCAGCCTGCACCCCAGAGGTCAGGGGCTGGTCTGCGCCTAGGGCTGCACCCCACCCCCAGCCTGGAAAAGCTGGTTAGTCAGGCTGGCAGCTGGAAAGACCTGTAAACACTCCCCTGCCCCCCCAGCAGTCAAGCCCGTCACAGGGAGGGAGCTGGGTGGGCTCTGGTGTGGGGCAGGCCTGTGCCTGGCTCCACCACCAGGGCCAGGGGCTGAGGGAGAGCGGCCACTGGACTCTCAGATGCCCACCAGGCCACCCCAGGGTCCAACGTCTGGATTGGGGTCCTCCCAGCCTCCCAGCCCTGGGGAGTAGGCCCAGCCTCTGGAAACACTGGCTCAGGGCTGCATGCCTGAGATTCCTGTCCCCCAGGTGCCAGGAGCCTCCCCCTGGCCTTCCTTCCCCACCCAGGGCAGCCCCACCCTGCCGGCTCCAGCCCTGCCGGCCCTGCCCCCACCGGGCCACATCCTCCCAGCTCACAGCCTGCTCCTTGTACAAAGGAAGAACGTGGACTCAGAGGAAGGACTGCAGAGCCCCCGAGAGCCGACCAGCCCTCCACGCACACTATCACTGCGGAGTACGTGGACTTTTGAGATATAACTCACAGACCATAAAATCCACAGCTCAGTGGATTTTAGTACATCGTTGTGCAACCATCACCACTAATTCAACCTTTCCATCCCCCCAGAAGGAAACCCTGCACCCATTACAGTCACTCCCCATGCCCTGCACCCCTGAGCAGCTGCTCATCTACCATCTCCATGGGTTTGCCTGTTAACGTGGGCATTTCGCAGAAAGGAATCACATGATGGAACCTTTTGTGTCTGGCCTTTTACTCAGCACGTGTTCAAGGTGCATCCATGTTGTAGCTTGTGTCAGTGCTTCATCCTCAACGCCTGAGCAACGTTCCACCGTGTGTGTGGGCAGACCACGCTTTGGAGCCATCAGCCCACAGATATTTCGGTGGTTTCCACCTTTTGGCTATTATGATGTCACCATGAGCACTTGTGAACAGGTTTGTGTGTGGACAAGTTTCCAGTTCTCTTGGGTGTATTCCTGGGAGTGGAATTGCTGAGTCACATGCTAATTCTATTTTCTAAGGAACTGTTTTCCAAAGCGGCTGCAGGCTGCATTTTACATTCTACAGGGTCCAATTTCTCCACTTCCGCTCCACAGTGGTTCCTTTATCATTGCTTGAAGCCAGGAGCTTGAGGCTGCAGCTATGATGACACCACTGCACTCTAGCCTGGGTGACAGCCAGAGCCTGTCTCTAAAATATACACGCATGTTCTGGATCCTCGACCTTTACCAGGTATGTGACTTGTATTTTCTCCCATCCTGATTCTCAGTACCTTTCAATGGGACAGAGTGGAGGTTTGGGGGCTTAGGAGGGCGGCAGCCTATTGCGCTCAGGGGCGTGTGAGCCTGAGGGCGAGTCTCTAATGTGGAAGCAAACAGGTGTGGGGTCCAGCCAAGCTGGGGTCCTCTATCAAGGCCTCACTTCCCTTTCCCCAGGACCAATTTAACATCAGACACAGTGCCACAGGCCCACAATACTTACAGGAGCTCATGAAAATGTTTTTGATTTCTTTTAAGGTGAGAAGGAAAAAAATGAACTTTTACATGAAAAAAAAAATGGCCTTATTATATCTTTCCTTTTTAGACAATCTTACTCTGTCACCCCAGCTAAAGTGCAGTGGTGTCACCATAGCTCACTGCAACATCAAACTCCTGGGCTCCAGCCATCCTCCTGCCTTAGCCTCCCGAGCAGCTGGGACTACAGGTGTGCGCCACCATGCCCGGCTAATTTTTTTTCTATTTTTAGTAGACGCAGGATTTCACTCTTGCTCAGGATGGTCTTGAACTCCTGAACTCAAGCAATCCTCCTGCCTCAGCATCCCAGAGTGCTAGGATGACGGGCGTGAGCCATCACACCCGGCCCTATGTTTACCTTCATACCAACATATTGTAAACAGAACTTATTATTTAATGGAGAAATGGGCTCACAAAGGCAAAAGTGCCCCTGGTGGTGACTGTCACACTGTGGCTCTGCTCCCTCCTGCCCTGGGCCAGAACTACTCCTACAGGGCAGGCAGCAAGGTCTTGACTGAGGGTATCCAATCCTCCTTTTAAGAGGATCTAGAATTAGAACTTGGAGGGTTAGCATCAGACCAACCCTGCCCTGGATTCCAGCCCTGGCTCTATCACCTAACTAGCCTGGGACCTCTGGCCACTCACTGCACCTTTGAGCCTGTTTCCTCATCTGTAAAATAGAGACAGCAGCACCCACCCTGTGAGAAAGGCATTTGGAAAGCAGAACCCTGGGGACATGAATGCAAGGGGCTGCTCTGGGACCACAGGCCTGGCCCAGGCTGGTGACTGCACACTGCAGGAGAATCCGCGTAGGGGTGGGGAAGCAGCACAGGCCAGCCCGTGGGCTTCAGCCCTGCCGAGGCTTGTTTCTGCATTCATCACACGGGGGCGGGATGGAGGCTTCCTGCTCTGAGGCAGCCAGACGTGTGCTGGCCTCTGAACAGGGATCAGATCACACACACGCTCTGCACTAACAACACACCAGGGCCTTTTGGCTTTGGCTATATTTATTTATTGCAAACAAAATCTGAGGTATGAGAAGCTGATCCAGAACCCATGTCTGCCCAGGCTGGGGCAGTCTCCACTTGCCCCATGCCAGGCCCTGGGTCCTGTGGGCCCAAAGCAGCTCCCTGGAGGACAGAAGGGCCCTGTGCACTGAGGTAGCTGCATCTTAAGCCCCCATGAGTACAACTCCCCAGGGCCACCCGATTCCCACGCCGATACGTGCCCAATTCCCGTGCAGGTCTGTGCTGAGGGAAGGCAGGGGGCAGGCGAGAGAGGCCCTGGCTTCAGGTGGCGCACACCCCGCCCTGCACCCCAACAAACATTCCAGCCTCTCAGGACGGGCACCTTCCTGCCTGCCCACCCAGCAAGGGGGGTGGGCGGCCACCAGAGGCAGGTGTGGGAGGCTGGCAGGTCACTGTTGCTCCAAGCAGTCTTCAGTCACCCCCTGGGCGGCCAGCTCAGCCAACACGTTGTGCAGGTAGTTGGGGTCGGGGTAGCCGTGGCCTGTCACGTTGCGGTCCATCTCTGTCTTGTGGTGGATCTCGTTCCACACCACCGTGTCGGTCTCGCCCGTGGTGCTGGACGTCCCGACGGTGAAGATGAGGCGCCTCTTCCAGGCCACCTTCAGGAGCTCCAGGACCTGCCGGAGGACGGGGAGGAAGAGGAGGGGGTAAGGGGAGAGGAGGAGACAACAGGAGGAGGAAGAGGAAGAAGGGGGTGAGGGAGGGAGGGAGGAGGGAAGGCCCAGTGAGCAAGTGTGGGCTCCCTCCCGGTGGTCTCACCCAGCCCTGCCCACCGGGCAGCCCAAAAGGATCCCACACGAGCCCGGCCCCGCCTCAGTGCCCAGCACCGCCATGTGCCTAGTTGCCAGGCCAACACCCTGAGTCCTTCTGCTTCCCAAATCCATGCTGGGTGAGCTCCCTGCCTCCCTGCCTGGCCACCTGGGGCCTTTCCTCTCTCCATCGCAGCCAGAGGAGCTTTCCGAACCTTGCGTCAGCAGCTCCACCCGCAAGGTTCCGAGGGTGCTCAGGTTCACCCTGCTCCTAGGGTGGGCCTGGGGGCTGGCCCTACCTTCACAAGCCCTCTCTGTGCAGCTTGTCCCTGACCTTCCTGTAGCTGCAAAGTCCCCATCCAGGTCTCAGTGTGGACACAACTCCTCAGGCCGTCCTGGGTCACCTAGTCCCCCCCGCCTTCAAATCTCTGACTTTGAAGAGCTCGTGACCCGGCCTAGCAGGTTGCTGGGAGCCCTGTGCCGTCCGGGCTTCTCTCCCTGTATCCACGACGGGTCCTCAGGAAGGAGCAGCAAACACCAGCCCTTGCGTCTTGTCCTCCCACTGCACAGGCAGGGTCGAGTGTGACTGCCTGGCCTCCCACTGGCAGTCAGGGACCTTCCCTGCCCTGAATGGGCGGAGGGGACTTTACCTTGCGGCCCTGGGCGTTGTCCGGAAGGTAGCACTGGCGGGGAAACCCTCTGGCGGTGAAAGGCTTTCCAGGGTTGGGGTGCTCGGGGCCCTGCAAGGGGAACAGGCACAAGGACGGAGTGATCTGAGGGCCCACCCAGCCAGCCGCAGAGGCTTGCAGGAAGGACACAGACACCCAGCCTCACCCCTCGGCCTTCTTGGCTGCAGTCCATTCCTGCGCTGAAGTGACCAAATAAGTTCCGCCCCTCAGAGACCTAAAGTGCATACAGCCCCGCAACCCACAACTGCCCTCCCTCGAACCTGCGCCACTCTGCCTGGCACGAGACACCTCCTGCTAACTTTCTCTTTCCCTGATGACACTGGGAACCCTTCAGAGGCAGGGCCAGACTCTCCTACTTTGGCGACCCTCCAGGCACAGGGTTCTCTGGCCTGAATGGAAGGACCTTCCTCGTGACCCCACACACACCACACGCCACACCCTCTGCTCTCATGTTGGGCTGCACAGCCCTGAGAACACTGAGAACAGGCTGGAGGGGCCCTGGGACAGAAGTGGCTCACTGGACAGGCGAGGCGCTGGGACAGCCCATGGCCCCTGCTCTCTGCTACTCAGGGACAGGTCTGTGTACAACTGGAAATTCTCCTTTGCCCTGAGGTGCTAGCCTGTCTGGAGTGTTTCTAAATTTCCCTGAGCCATGGAGAAGGGAAACCAGGGGAAAGGCACGTGGTTCAAGAGGACAGACGGACCCCATCTGGCACCTGGTGCCCGCTGCCACCCTGTCCTCCCCCCCGGCCCCAGGCATGGGACCCAGAGGGTCAGGGCTCTTACTTCAGTCTCCACCAGGACCCCTGGACCTGTGCTTCGGCTCCTGACACCCAGACCAGGCCCTGCCGCTGCCAACCTAGGCCTAGGTCTCAAAAACAAGGGTCCTGCCAGGCTCCTCAGCCCCTCCTGCCCATACTCTGCCACCCAGAGGGCTCCTCACCGCACACGCTTCCCGTGGGTCCCTAGCTGCCCAGTGTAAGTCCAGCTAAGATGTCTCCTCCTCCAGGAAGGCTCCCTGGCTCAGGCAAGGGTTGAGGCCACCTCTCTATTTCCACAGCCTAAGAGTCTGGCCCAACTCCCAGCACTACTACCCCCAGGTTCCTGGCCCTCCCCAGCTCCGGCCTGAAGGGGAACTGGGAGCCTGAGCATCGCACAATAGGCGTCCTCACCCCCGATCCAGGGCGCAGACCACTGAGAGAGGCGTGGGCTAGGAAAAGGAGTGCCCAGGAGTGACAGATTCAAGAAAGTTCCCAGGAGGCTCCTCTTAGTGTGGGGTCCCCCTTACCTGGATGCCGTGAGGAATGTTGTAAATGATAAGTATTGTCCCGCAGTCCTCATGGCCTGGGAGTGACATCTGGAACCTCATCACCTCCATCTTCCCCTGGGGCTGGGTCCCAGTTTTCTCTCCGTAGATGGTTTTGCAGGAAGGACACTGCAAGCTTCCATCCTGGGATAGGGCAGATGCGACAGACTGAGCCAGTGGCCCTGAGAGAACGCCTGGACAGTCACTTCCCTGTCTAGATAGGAAGAAGCCCGGAGGACCGGGCCAACCCTGTTACAGAGTTGCTGGCAGATCGCCTGGCTCTGAGGCAGCCTCCCCTCTCAGAACTGGATTCTAACAGCTTCCTTAGAAAGCTAAGTTTTGCACCAGAAACTAGTTATGCAATTTTCATAAGGGGGTTGAGACATCAGGAGACTGACATCAAGTAGGAAAGTAGGTTCATGAGCCAGTCTCCACAGTTGAATCATGTTAAAAATCAAACAGAAACTCCTGCACTTGACCTGCTGGTGCTGGCCTCTGGCTGGTACAGGATGGCCAGGGGTACTGGGGAGAGAGTCCAGGCAGGAAGGGCTGTCACATGACTTGGTTCTCTCATCCTCTCAAACTCTGTCCATTTTGGCTAAACTCCACTAGAGGAACAGCAGCTGGTGTTAGCTGCTGAGGGCTCGAATGGGACTCTCCCCGTGGAGGGTGGCATGGGGCCTCCTCTTCGTCAGTACCGTGTTGACGGCACAGGGATGTCATAAGGAAGGAGTGAGCACGTGTAAGTGGCTGAGAGCAAGATGGTGCCCTGCTCCTCAGGAGCCCAGGTGACCCCAGGCCTGGCTAGAGGGGTTGGGGGAACCAGCCCCACTGGCCTCCCTTCCTAAAGCATGGGGCAGGCCTAAGACAGCCAGCTGGGCCACCAAGGTCTCCACGCTGGCTCTACATGCCCACAATCATCTTTTGCTGGAGGAGTGATCCTGCAACTGTCCCCAGAGCCCGGCAGCTAGCCCTCAGGACCCTTACCCTGCTGCAGGGCCAGGACTGAGGAGGACACCTCAGGGCTGTGGGGCAGGCCACCCTGCTCCCCACCCCCAGGGCAGCATGGGCACCTTGTTGCCATTGCAGTACATGGCCAGTAGGCACAGCAGGTGGAAGGCATGGCTGCACTTGGTAAGGCGGCCCACAGCCGTGGGCCCGATGGCCTTGCTATCAGTCACGTCACTGTATCCAGATACCATGGACAGCTTCTCCATACAGATGATGCAGTCCTAGAGACAGAACAAACACAGGCGTGCTCGCCAATGTCGGCTGGGCTGAAGCAGGCCAGTCTTGTAGAAAAAGTCTTCATCTGCCAAGATGCTAGAGTTACGGTCAAAGTCAATTCAGTAGTCATTCGTTCCATAGGCTGGGAACACAGATGAGTCACCAGGACCTGTGCCCTTGAAGGGCTTACCAGAAGCACAGGCCTGAGACAGCAGCAGGAACAGCCAAAGGGGTAGGACGGAAGAGGGCAGGCTCCTCAGGGGAGAGTCCCCCGAGCCAGGCCTTACAAAAGAGGCAGAACTGCCAGGCGGACAAGCAGAGAATGGCCATTCCAGGAAGAGGGAGACAATGTTCTGAAACACATAATCAGCTCGTGGACACCTAAAGGGGGCAAGGCCTCAATGGGGGTGGGAGATGAGAAAAGGGCTGAGAGAGGATGGGATCCTGGAAGGTTCTGACCTCTATGCTCAGGAGCTGGGGCCTTATTTTGGGAGTCAAGGGACCCTGCTGGGGAGCACTGTGCAGGGAGCACGTCCACAAGCTGGGCTGCGTGTTGGCTATGCAGATGGCAGCTTGGAGGGAAACCCGGGCCAAACGGCCCAGTTATGCCAGATGGGCACAAGGACAAAGAGACAGATCTGAGTGCTGGGAAGGAGGAATACGGTGAGGGCTTGAGGAAGGGTGGCACATGCCATGAGGACTTTCAGGCTTCTGTCCAAACCTATGCTAACCAGATTCTTCTCACATACTCAGTTTTCAGGAAAAAGATGCAAGCGAACGATAGGGTCCTTGGTTCTGCACGGGCACGCCTGACCTTTAACCCATCCCTCCAGTATCTCCAGGACTCTCTGTTCAAATGGGGAAAAGTGGTGCTGTAGCCCCCAAAAACATGGCTCAGCAGAGGGGTTTGGGTTCTAAAGCTGTGGCAATTTGGCGGGGCCTGTTAATCACAGGAACCACGCCCAGCTCTCCCAATAGCCAGAGAGGCAGGGCTGCCACCTGGACAAGGCCACCTCACTTCTATACCACCGTGAGCCCGGGGGTAGAGTGGACATACCCCACCCTTGTCTCCAGGACTCCCGGGCCCAGGATGGCCCTCAGGCTACACAGAGGCCTGGGCCAGGACGGGAGAGCTTGGCGCACGACCACAGCTCCTTAGTGGCAAAGCTCAGACCAGAACGATGTGGGCTTAGGAGCCACAGCCACCACCTGCAGCAGGAGGCTGGAAGACTCAGCCAAAGGGCCTGGAGCATGGCCCTGGCACCTAGGGATGCCCGGGAAGTGCCCTTGAAGCAGAGAATGGGCTGATGTCCTTTCCATCTGGAGGCAACCCTTTTTCCAAACAAAAATGAAAGCAGCCTGGCTCCCAGGACACGTACCTCATCCGGGGGTGTTTTTAGCTCTTCAGTGTAGTTTTTTATCACCTGCTCTGGCTCTGGCTTTGGAGAGCCTCCTAGAAGAGAGAAGAACATAAGCAGTGTCCCAAAGAGTACGAACTGCAGAGGATGCCAGAGAGGAAGGAAGACAAGGGAGAGTCCAAGCTGCCAGGAGGAAACGTTAGAAGGGCCGAGACGGGGAAGGTTAGCGTGCAAGACAGGAGAGCCTCAGCGCCAGGCACAGAACACTCCAGAGCTCTGCCAGACAAAGCCCCATCCAGGCCCAACCGCGTGGGGGCCAGCCCAGCCCCAGGAGCCCTGGAGGAGGCAGAAGAGGGCAGACAGAGGCGCACGTCTCTTAGGAGCTGCATCCCAGCACACACTTGGTCACGAAGCCTGACCCAGGCTCTTCTCACGATGCCCAGGAGAGTCAGAGAGCAGTTTCAAGAACGAACTACTCCATAGGATGTTCTGGCCACATTATTTTATGCAACTTTCATTATTCTCAGCAAGAGAAGAAAGTTTTGAGTCCAGTGTGTACCGGGAACCTACTCCATGCGGGCACCTGCATGCACGCCAATTGCAGACACCGGCCACACTGACCCTATTGTGGTAAACAGCCTGTGTCTGACCGTGGGAGCCTCAGTCGCATGCCTACCGGTTCCTAAGCCGAGTGACTCTGGGGAGGAGCCGAGATGCAGTACTCCCTGGCTGCCCTACTCTGGTCTATGCACATATGCGCACAGCTAGCTAGGGGGGCAGGCGCTATGTCTCTATAAACACCAAACTCTGCACCAAATAGGTCCCACCTAAGGACAAGAAACTCCCGGGACTAGTGAAAGAGAACTGGCATGGCCTGGGGGTTTCTCCAGGAAGTAGGAGCAGCAGAATCAGAGAATTGGAGAATTGCAGCCAAGCCTGTAGGGGAGCAAAAGGAGGGACCAGGAAGAACAGGGCAGCCCTGAGAAAGCGACTGTGGCAGGGGCTCTAGTTCAGGTCACCATGGGCTGCTGGGCCCTGCCTCTGAGACCACAGGGGGCTCTGGTTTGACTCTGAGCTCACAGCCGTCAGCCTGGGGCTGCAGAGACTTGTATGGCTGAACTCCTTCTAGATCAGAGGCAGCCAGGTGGACAGCGACCCGGGGATGCGGCTGAGGGAAGCACATGAACGTTGAGTTTGAGTCTGGCTGCTGCTAGGACCAAATCACACCACCAAAAGTGAAAGCTTAATACCTAACACAGCTGTCACTGCTGTAATGGCATTAGCTGCTATCGTGTGAAAGGCAGCTGCAGACAAAGGAAGACCACACACAGCCCCACACCCCACCCACACCCATATACACCAACAGACTTCCAGGCCCCACACCCTGGGCACTATGGGGAGAAAGCCAGACCACAACACCGACCGCTGGCACAGGGTGGCCGTCCTGATGGCTGGGACATCTTACTCAGGTTGGGGGAGCCTCTTTTTTTTTTTTTTTTTTTTGAGACAGAGTCTTGCTTTGTTGCCCGGGCTAGAGTGAGTGCCATGGCGTCAGCCTAGCTCACAGCAACCTCAAATTCCTGGGCTCAAGCAATCCTTCTGCCTCAGCCCCTCTGAGTAGCTGGGACTACAGGCATGCGCCACCATGCCCGGCTAATTTTTTCTCTATATATATTTTTAGTTGTCTAGATCATTTCTTTCTATTTTTCAGTAGAGACAGGTTCTCGCTCTTGCTCAGGCTGGTCTCGAACTCCTGACCTTGAGCGATCCACCCGCCTCGGCCTCCCAGAGTGCTAGGATTACAGGCGTGAGCCACCGCGCCCGGCCTGAGGAGCCTCTTTTGAAAAGCCTGCTGGCTCTAGGCCCGTCTCCAGGTGAGCCTGGAACCGTTGCCCCGCCACGGCTGGCTCAGCATCCGTTTCCCCTGCTCACCCCAGCCCAGGCAGCCTTCCAGAACCAAGGAAGCTTTTCATTTAGCCACATTTCTCAAAGGGAGCTGGCCAGGTGAAGATCAAAAGGGACTCACACAAAAGGGACATCTGAGTCCAGGTAGGCCAAGAGCCTGTGTCTTTCCCAGGCAAACTCAAGTACCAGAGGAAGCTGCCAGCCTGGCTTGCCACAGATGCATCTCTACCTCCATGGCAGGGTAAGAGCAGAGTGAGCAGAGCCCTGGGCTGGGGTCAGGGGCTTCAAGGCCCACCCCTCCCTGAGCCTAGCTCCTTGCCCGTGGGGCAGGGGCTGGATCAGACAATGGACACAATTGGAACAGCCACTGTCACTACGCGCCAGGCGCTTCATTTGTCTATTTCCTATTCCTCACCAAGCAATCTGCTAAGTAGGAGGCACTGGCTCATGAATGGAGAGGACCTGCGTAAGATCACAAAGCTGGGGGCACTGGTGGAGCCATGGCCACCTCCCTGCACAGCACCATGCTGGACTCGCAGCAGTCCGTGCTTCTATAGCCCAGTGAGGGAGGCATAGCCACCACTAGCTTAAGAAAGGTCCAGAACTTACTACCACAGGCCCCTCCACACAAGTCTTGTTAAAACTCCTAACACCCGCAGTGGTTCTGAAATCCCTTCTTCCCTGGCCACACGACAGGCAGGGCAGCAGTCATTAGAGGACCCCTCTCAAATAGCTCACATGGGCACCCAGACAGGGCCGGAGGCCAGGGCAACAGGACTGGGCTGCTCTGTGGGGGTCTTTTGTGAGACACTGGCCCCACTGGAAGGGACAGTTGTCCCCATCCTGAGCCAGGCCCCACCCCTTGCCTATACTTTGGTGTTTACAAAGCCACAATGTCTGAAGAACAAGCCCCTCTCAACCCAGCTGTGCCAGGGAGAGAGGAAGAAGCTGAACTCCGGGTCTTGAGTGGAAAGTCAGATCCCAGGCACCATCTCTGCTGCTGAGCAAGGGCCACAGAGCCCATCCCCCCAGGGGACAGGAAGCGGAGAAAAAAGAGCCATCCATGTGGAGAGTCAGAGGCAGCAAGACTTGTAGGAGGCTTAGCAAAGGCCAGAGAGCATTTGTGAATAGGAACTACCTTTCATGGACATTTTCCTCAATCTCTTAACTGAGTTGTGACTTTTAGAGGCCAGACAGGAGGCGGGAGGGCTGGCGGGCTGGGGTGCGCGGCTAAGACACACAGGGAGTCCAATGGCTGACATCAGAATACTCGTCATGCCTACACGGGATGTGAGATCAGACATGCAGAGAGGGGGAGAAACATTAGAAGGAATCATTTGGCATACGACGTCAACAAACTCTGCTGAGGCCGGGAGGTAGCTCCGTGAATGGCCACTGGGACCCACGAAGCTCCCTGGGGTATCCGGCCTCTGGAGGCTCCCAGGGCCGGCCCAGGCTGGCAGGACGGAGCTCCAGGCCAGGAATCAGAAGGCCCAGGAAACGGCCTGGCTCATCTGCACCCATCCCCAGGTTGCACAGATGTCTGTATAAGCAACAGACCAGCCCCGGCCCACAGCGTGCAGGTGGTAGTGGTCATTTGTTTCAGGAGAGCAGAGAACAGAGGGCAGAACACCACTCCAGAAAGCTGCCTGTGAAGTTCAAAGTGGCATCCCCTGTGCCAGCTGCAGGGAAGGGAGCAGAAGGGGCAACGTGGAAGGGCGCAGCCAAGCTCCAGAAGCAAAGACGGGGTCACCTGCTGGCTTCAAGGGCTCAGCCTTCCCCAGGCCCCTAGAGCCCCCTGGCCTGATCATGCCCTCTTGGCTCCAGGTCACTCTGCCTCCAGTGGGGCACTGTCTGCTGCCCATGCCCCATTTGGCTTATCCAGGTGCCACGGCCTACAGTGACAGCACCGGGGTGGGAGAGCAGGACCACTGCCTCTTGAGATGGCTCCCATGCTGAGGCGCCCCCATGGTCCCTGGGAGGCTCTGCTATGGCAGCAAAGGCCCCAGGGTGTGGCTTCCTTCTCTGGTGCCCTCAAGCGAGGGTGGACCCACAGCAGGCAGCTGTGCCGACGTGGACAGCCTCTGCTTCCAGAGCTCACTACTGCCTGGTGCCCGCGGGGGCAGGCCTGGCTCCTCAGCCTGGTGCCCCACAGGCATCCTGGCTAGACCCCCCCCACACCTCCTCCACACTCTCTGATGACCCAACACTCCAGGGTCACAGCGTGTCCTCCTGCTGGACATCCCCAGAGGCAACTCAGAGGCATGGGAGGCAACCATGCCAGCCACTGGGCCTCCACTAGAAGAATAAAACCACTCGTATTCTGGCAAATGTGCCCAGAAGGGGACAGAAGCAGAGGCCAGCCACCAGCCTGGGCAGCACAGCCAAGTCACGCAGGGTGAGTGTGGTGGCCGCTCAGCACGGGTCACTGACGTGCATGTCAGAAGACTGAGGTTCCAGCCTAGATTCCGCGTCAGTTATCGTAATGCCACCAACATCCCAAGGTTGTTCCTGGGCTCAAATGCGGTTCTCATGGAAACTAAACGTCAGGTGGACAGAATGACAAGCAGGCACAGGTGGCAGAAAGATGGGAGAGAATAGGAACAGGTGTGGTTTTCTTCACAAGAACCTGGGGCCTTTGTACTGCCCATATCCTCTGACCAGAACACACCTTCCCCACCAGCTGCCCTCCAGATCTCTCCTCCAGTGTCACCTCGGTGGGCATGCCTTCCCTGAACACTCTCGGCAGTCGACTGCTCTATCCCAAGCATACAAGAACACCCTCTCCTAATAGCCACTTCCCTCCGCCTCGCCAGCCCCTCTGCCCTCTTCCTGCCCAAGTCACTCACACATCTGTTCTTGGTGTCTTCCCTGAGCATGAGCTCTGTGAGGCGAGGACTCTGCCAATGGCTGTCTCCAGCGCCCAGTGCCTGGTCTACTGAGGCCCATGGTCCATGTGTGCTGAGGAGCGAAGACATCCCCGAGGCCACCATCAGCAGCCCCCAAGAGGCCAGCATGAGAACCACTCCTGCCCTTCTCAACACAGGACCCACTCCCTGGAATTCGAGCCACAGACATATAAGTCCCAACCCAGAAGCCTGGAGGGAAAGCAGCCGCTCCGCTGAGGGTCACCTCCACAAACAAGCCTGAACACCACCCACACCCACAAAGCAGCATCAGATGGGCAGGACGGGTGGGGGCCTCCAAGGGTGCACCATCATCTTCCTCAATAGCAAGGGCTCAGGGACAACCCCAAACTCCTGACACCCCCAAATCACCTAAACAGCTGGGACAGCCATAGCTTTTTCTCCAGTCATGGGACAGGACTCCCACTGTCAGAGCCCCGAGAGGGAAGCCCCATTCAGACCCTCATCTCCCAATTTGCAAGCACCCCCTTTCTGACACCAAAGGCCAGTCTTTCATCTAGTGACCAGGGCTGAGATCCAAGCCCACCTTCCTTCCACTCTGGCTTCCCCAACCTGGGCTCAGGCAGCTGGCCTCGCCCTGTCTCAGGCAGGCTGCTAACCCCCCCACCCCAACCCCCACAGTGGTATAAATCCAGTGCCCAAATGCTCACCTCCCTGAGGTCACGGCCCCAGGTGACAGGACACTGTCCAGCTCTGGCTTCTCAGGAGCTGGCCAGGCTCCTCTCATTCCCTGGGGCCCCAGACTTCAGTCCCATCAATAGGTCCCAATCCCTGAGCCTCAAATTTCAGGGCGACAGCGGTCTGGCCACAGGCTCCAGTCTCCCTTATCTCCTAGCTGGGACCAAGTTCCTGAACTTTTGGGGGCTGTTTCTCCCTTAAGTAAAAGGAGGTTAAGACATCAGCCTAGCTCCAGGATTGCCCTGAGAGCCAGGGTGACAGGGGACGTGAAGGACAATGTGGGAGGCAGCCTGGAGAGGGTCCTCAGCCTCTGAGCAAAGGGAGCAGGTGCCACTCACTGCCCAGGGCACCCTAAGAGAGGAGCCATTTCACTTAAGAGAGGTCACTGCAACATCTGCATACAGCCTCAGAGGTTAGCCATGTCAGGGCCACAAAGGCTCAAGAAAGCCTCAGAGCCCAGAGCTGGAAGGGGCTGGGCCATAGGGAGCCCTGCCTGTTTACCGGCAACCTTTCTCCAACACTACCGCACACATACACACACGCAGTCTGACTATCCTGTGACTCCCAATGCCACGAGGTGACCTCAACTGGGCAGGAACTTTCCAGTCAGCACATCTTTGCTCACTCTGTTCTCTCGGCCCAGGCAGCTGAAACACGTTCAAGAAAGCCTGCTGGGCAGGGTCTCCCTCCCAGGCTTCCCACCCCCACCTCTCTGGCTGTTCCTTCCGTGTCCCTCAAGAGCTCCTCTTCCCAGCATGCTGCCGGTGGTCTCTGAAGGCTCACACACTCCCCCGGGGGGCCAAGGGCACCTATTCCCCCAAATGCTCCTCTGAGACACACACCCAAAGCCCCACTGCCCTGGGACAGCTACACCTGCCACATCACAGCCATCGCCCCCTTCCGATGCTCCCACCAGACTCAGAAGCACCCAACAGTGATGAGGAAGAGCCAGATCTAAGGCCAGGATGCCTGGGCTGTGTCCCAGCTCTGCCACGAGGTGGCTGCCAGAGAATTTTAACCTCAGCTTCCTCCAATTTAAAATGGGAACAAAAGCCCCCACCTCACAGTTATATAGGGATGAAACTAATCGACACACATGCAGAGTCCTGGGTGATTTCCAAGATGTGAGAGCACCGGGTCAAAGTCGCAGCAGGCCTCACCCTGCCCCTCGTCTTCTCTCACAACCAACCCAGCTGAAATGGCAGAAGGCTCTCTCCTCTGAATGTCTCAAGCCAAGCCCACGGCTCCATCCCACTGCCATGAACCTAGTCGGTCCACTGAAGTGTGAGGTCAGGCCCCGCATCGGCCTCCTTGCCTCCAGGGCTGTCCCCTCTAAGCCACCCTACACTATGACAGTGACTCACTTAAAACGCCAGCTCTGGCTATCGAAGTCCTCCACATCAACCTGTGACTGATGGAGGCACACTACACTGTTCTGTCCACCTTTTTATACACTCTGCATTTCCCGTAAGCTCAACCCAGTGGCTCCGCAGCCTCGGTGGCTCCCACTCCCCTCTCCAACCCCAACCCCAGCAGCAGTGTAAACCCAGTGGCTCCATAACACCTATAAAAGGACTTTTAAAAACAGTTCCAAGACCTAAGGGCAGCAAAAGATCTAGCTGGACCCAAAGATGCTTATTCAAGACAAAATGTCAACCACAGCCAAAAGAGTTCTAGGGAATTCCCCAGAGGGTCCCTTTATGGAAATGCTTCAAGCATTTAAGGACAGAAAAGTGACTCTTCAACTATAATTCAATTTGATGCAAAAATTTAAAAGGACATGAAAGAACCACACCCAGGCCCCCACAGTCATCAGGCCCGACTTCCCCAGAGCCAAAGGAAGGGGCACCCAGGCTCACTCTAAGGGGACACCATCACCTAAAAGAGGTACCGCTCCTCCCAAGGAGCACCTTCTGGTTTTCGGTGAGGTCAGAAGGTGACAAGGCCACCACCCCACAGTCTCCTTCCCACCAAGTCCCACAGGGCATAATCTGTTCTGGAACCCAAGAACAGGGCACCTACCTGCGAGCGCTTGCTGGACCCTGCTGGGCTTTGGCATCTGCACAGGCACAGTGGCAGGGATGCTCCCGGGGCTGCTGGAGGGACCGCTGGGGAGGGAGGCACTTGGGGGAAAAAAGAGAGCAAAGCTTAGCGGAAATGAGACAAGACCAAGAAACACCTCGGTGGCCCTGAGGCTCCTTCATGCTTTCACTTTCCACGGCTGCCTGTGTGAAGGAGGCCTTTTGTTTTGTTTTCCTGGGCAATTCAAAGAGACTCTGAATATAATCCTAAAATGAGAGCTCAAAATGTTTTTTTTAGTTCCCTAGCTTCAACAAAACAAGGGCTCCCATAGTACCTGTGCAGAGAAGAAATCTGGCAGAAACCACTTTGACGAACATTTTGTGGGATTTATCTCACTGGGTGCGGTGGCTCACGCCTGTAATCCTAGCCCTCTGGGAGGCTGAGGAGGGAGGATCGCTTGATGTCAAGAGTTCAAAACCAGCCGGGCGCGGTGGCTCACGCCTGTAATCCTAGCACTCTGGGAGGCCGAGGCGGGCGGATCGTTTGAGCTCAG